TTGCAGTACATCTTTCTAGAAGTGTAAATATGGATTTACCAGGAAATGACGAAAGAATCAGACGAATCAATGGAGCAGAAATCCGCATTGGCCGTGTCACATTACCAGTAATGTAAAATTACCACTGCTTGTATGTCCGTATTCTCCCCCCCCCCCCTAAAATCACCCCCGTCTTGTTTGTAATGATACCCTGTTTGCAGTAAGAGGAGATCTAGAAGTTTTGGTGGAAATTTCGTTGTGGGAGTAAAACCAGTCTATTCTGAAAAGCTGAAAACACTGTACCGCTGCTTCACTCTTATTGAGAATCACCAACAGTGCTTATCTCACGAAACTCCAAGAAGTTTCAAACCTGCTATCTCCCGGAGAGCATATAGAAGAGTTGCCATTTCGTCCTCAAGTGAGTGACCAATTCGCTCTTAGACAGAGTCAAACAGTACACATCCTTCAGTTACGGGGTCCATATCAGGTGGTCACTTGTTCGCTGTCTCCTTAGGCGATGATTATCTGGGATTCAAGGGTTTTCTGTTTTAATTACAGGACAAAATCCACACTAGAATGAAACTGTTTTTTAAGGAAATGATAACCGCAAATGACAGCAACGTTACCAGGAGATAAAGCGCTGTCTGTCTTTCAAATCGAAACTATTAGCGAATTGCATACTTTCACATGTTTTTTCTCATATTTTCACTACAATTAATATGGGTTTCTCCAGTGTTTTATCGCAGAGTTTCCCTTTTTTTGATTTTGATTATTCATGCGAGAACAGATCAGCAGCGTCAACCGAAGTCACTGTAACCATCTAGTGACGGATTCAAGGTCATGCGGACCCTTTCAATGTGATTTCACAACCTTTTGACAGCACCAGTAGTTGATATTTTCCGAATTCACAGTATGCTACGCAATGTTCGAGAGCTGAATGTCTTTACATAGGTTTCCTGAAATAGATTGCTTGTAAACATATGGCAATCATTTTCGAAAAAAATCTTCTGTGGAAGCCCTTGAGAGAGTTTGAAGTGTGACTGCCAAACAGATGAGATTTGGCGATCATCTTTGTTGGCATATATGTTACTGTCACCCCGTTTTTCCCCCCCAGTCGTGTGATTAAGCTGTCCGGGGAAAAACCAGATGTTGCAGTACATCTTTCTAGAAGTGTAAATATGGATTTACCAGGAAATGACGAAAGAATCAGACGAATCAATGGAGCAGAAATCCGCATTGGCCGTGTCACATTACCAGTAATGTAAAATTACCACTGCTTGTATGTCCGTATTCTCCCCCCCCCCCCGACCAAACACCCCCCCCCATTTTTAAAAG